GGAGGGGGCCGGTCCCGCTGCTGCTGCCGCCGAGGCTTCCGGGATCGCCGCGGCATGGAGCCGTCGCCGTCGGGGGAGAAGGAGGAGGGGGTCGGCCGCTTCCGCGACAGCGGTACGGCCCGGGCTGCCTCCCTCCGGGCCCCTGGCCGAGCCCAGCCCAGCCCCGGGAAGCGGGGGGGCTGCGGGGACCCTCCCTGCCCGGGGTGGGGGATGGCAGCGGGGAGGCCCCCCCCTCGCTCCGGGCTGAGACAGGGGGGAAGGGGGTGAAGCTGCGAGGGGCATAAAGTGGGGTGTGGAGGGGATATGGTGGGTGGGAGTCGCACCTCGCCTTCCTCTCTCCCTGACACCCCGCTCCTCTCTCCCCGCAGAGCACCAACACACTCGTTACAACCCGCTGCGGGATGACTGGGTGCTGGTGTCGGCCCACCGGGTGAAGCGCCCCTGGCAGGGGCAGTTGGAGAAGCCGCCCCCCGAGGATGTGCCCCGCTGGGACCCCAACAACCCCCTCTGCCCCGGGGCTACCCGCGTCAACGGCGAGGTATCACCAAGGAGCCAGGCGTCGGGGCTCCCCCCACCGCACCATTCCCCCACTGATCCCGTCTCTCTCCCGTGGCAGGTGAACCCCCAGTACGAGGGCACCTTTGTCTTCCCAAATGACTTTCCTGCGCTGCAGCCCGATGCTCCTGAGCCTGGTAACTTACAGGGCCTCTGGGCACCCCCAGGCACAGGTCCTGGGGGGGCTGCAGGCTGGCCTGGAGAGGCATGGGTGTTGTCCCAGCACCCTCTCTCTCCCCACTCTCTGTCCTTCCCCAGGTGACAGCGATCACCCCTTGTTCCGAGCTGCAGCAGCCCGGGGTGTGTGGTAAGTACTTCCATGTCTCCAGGGGAACTGAGCCTGCTCCCCTCTTCGCTGTGCCTGTCCTGTGCACCACCTGCTCTAATTTGAGTGTCTCATCGCTCTCCCGTTTCACTGTGATGGGCAGGGCTGTGGGGGTCCCCAGAGACACCTCGCAGTCCCAGCCACGTGTATCTTCTCCGCAGCAAGGTGATGTGCTTCCACCCCTGGTCGGACCTGACGCTGCCCCTCATGTCCCTGGCAGAGATCCGGGCTGTCATCGATGCATGGGCAGAGCTCGCGGCCGAGTTGGGTGCTTCCTACCCCTGGGTGCAGGTCAGGGGCTGGTAGGGGCTGCCCTTCTCTCCCTGCCCTGGGAGCTCGAGTGGAGTCAGGGGGCTAGGGTTGCGTGCTCTGACAGCAGCTGGGATTGGGACTCAGGTGCATGTGAGTCCCCATGTTCCTATCATTTCCCCCCCTGAGCCTTTCCAGGCAGGTATGAGGCTCCTCTCTCCTGCGGGATGCTTTCCTGGTGTGCTGGGGACACCACAGTGGCCCACAGCAGGGATCCTCGGGCTGGGGCCTGCTGGCTGCACCTCTTCCTCTGCAGATCTTCGAGAACAAGGGAGCAATGATGGGCTGCTCCAACCCGCACCCCCACTGCCAGGTGAGGCTGTCCCACCTGTGACCTGGCTTAACCGTGAGTCCCAGTGGATGACCCTGTGACAAACCCGGGGGGAAGATGTGGACGGGAATCCCCCCACCCTGGTCTTGGAGATTTTTGCAGTGAGGATACCCCCATGCCTGTCCTGTCACCTCCCCTCCTGGGGACTGTCCCTTGCAGCTGCCACATGTCGGGCTTTCCACCTGGTGGCAGCACGGGCCTGCAGATGGGCAGCGTGTCTGGGGCACCCCTGCAAATACGGGGTACAGCTAATCCAGCCCTGTGCCCCGATGTCTCTCCGAGGTGTGGGCTAGCAGCTTCCTCCCAAACGAGGCACGCCTGGAGGACCGGACCCAGCGGCAGCACCTGAGGCAGCATGGCATGCCCATGCTGCTGGAGTATGCCGAGCAGGAGGCTCACCGAAAGGTGAGGACATGGCTGTTGTCATATCCCCTCCCTGAGACCCGGATATGTATCGGGATGGACTCCCCAGGAACGCCCATCTCCGGGGTATTGGGACTGTGTATTTCCCCATTAAGCACCATGTCCCGCAGGAACGGCTGGTGGTGGAGAATGCAGACTGGCTGGTCGTGGTGCCATACTGGGCCACCTGGCCCTACCAGACCCTGCTGCTGCCCCGGCGCCACGTCTGCCGCCTCCAGGACCTCCACGAGGGCGAGAGGGACAGTGAGTGGCTCCACACTTTGTTAGCCCCCATCCCACATCCTCTGGGCTTGGCCTTTGTTAGGAGGTAGCTCTGTAACAGCCTTGCTGGTGCTGGAGGGTCCATGTCTCCTTGAGGTGTGGGGCTGCCAGGCTTGGCTTGGGAGGGGGCTGACACCCCTGTTTTGCCCTGGGTGTCCAGGCGCAGGCAGTACTGATGGGGGGATTAGTGTCCTTTTAGGGGTGATGAAGCACATGGTGCTGGCTGATGAGGAATGGGGGCTCCTCCTGCCACGTTGCTCAGGCTGTCTGTATGGGTGGGGAGAGGGGGAACTGCCAAGGGCATCCCTCCTGCCTGTTGCTGATACTGAGCTGGAGTGCTGAGGGTGTGCGCACCCCCCCCCCCCCC